GGGGCTAAGGCTTTCTGTGGGACAGAGAAGGAATCGTTGTGCAGGTGCAGGAACCCAAGGGCAAGAAGGCAGAGAGCAGGAAGCTCACGTGGCACCTGGAGAGCCTCCTACTTCTCTCCCAGCTTCCACGCCACCACACCAGGTGGGACTATTCCCTCTCTATCTCTTTTCCTTGCTCTTTTCTTCTTCCTCCTCTTAAGGGTAGGTAATAACAGTTCCACCCTATCCACTGCCCTCTGCTCGCTCTCTTTTGCAGACCTCACTCTGTCCCATGAATTCAGATGACTTCCCATCTCCATGTCACAAATGTCCTTCCCTTCCCGCCTATAAGCCATCACAACCTCCACTTCCTGTGGGAAACTTGTATACTTAGGCAACACAGAACTTCTCCTAAATTTCTCCTCAGCCCAACTTTTCTAGTTTCCTTGCTTCTATTAATATTATCTTCCAAACCTTAGAGGCTTACAATTCATAGAATTTTGTTTTTATCTCACCTGCCTCTCATCCAGTTCCTGTATACGTTTCATCCATAACTTCTCTCACATTTGTTTCTTCATTTTTTTTAAATTGAGGCATTTTTTTAAATTGCTCTGTTGCCCAGGCTGGAGTGTAATGGTACAATCAGGGCTCACTGCAGCCTCGACCTCCCAGGCTCAGATAATCCTCCCACCTCATCCTCCCAAATAGCTGGGACTACAGGCATGTGCCACCACATCCAGCTAATTTTGTACTTTTTTATGAGACAGGGTTTTGCCATGTTGCCCATGGCTGGTCTTCAAACTCCTGGGTTCATGCAATCCATACACCTCAGCCTCCCAAAGTACTGGCATTACAGACCCAGCCTGTCTTTTCATTCTTAATTCAGACTACAGTCAGACACCAAGTCCTTCCCATTCAACCTCTGAAATATCTTGTAGTTTTTTTGGTTTTTGTGGGGTTTGTTTGTTTGTTTGTTTTGAGACAGAGTCTCCCTCTATTGCCCAGGCTGGAGTGCAGTAGCACAATCATAGCTCCTTGCAGCCTTGAACTCCTTAGTTCGATAGATCCTCTCACCTCAGCCTCCTAAGTGGCTGAGACTATAGGCACACCACCACACCAGCAGCAACAATATATAGACAACTTGGGATAAAATGACTATTTGTCCTATTATTTTGGGAAGAGATTCTAAAAGGATTCACATTGTGTGTGTACAGGAAAGAGTAAAATCCTGGATGTGTAGACATGTCCCTGAGTATGGGAGACAAAGCTAAGAGTGAGTAGAAATGATTAATTCAACCATTGTTATGTTAGAACACCCCAGGCAAAAAGAAGAGAGCTGGCCTGGGGACCAAGTGAGGTATGTAACAGAAACCAGTGTTGCCAGGTCAGCCTGTCCAGGAACCTGGCTGAGATGGCGATTGATACTAGGCCTAGGCTAGAAATGAAAGGAGCTTTTTCTTTCTTCTTTGTCTTGTGTGGTGATTGAACTTTTTTTGGAGCGAAAACTACAATGCGGCAAAAACTTTAGAGCCATGGTTTTCAACCAGGGTGGTTTTGCCCTTCCCTCCCCCAAGAAAATTTGGCAACATCTACAGTCATGTTTGGTTGTTAAAACTAGAGGATGGACCCCAGTATGGTGGCCTGTGCAGGTAGCCCCAGCTTCTCAGGAGGCTGAGGCAGGAGGGTTGCTTGAGGCCAGGAATTCGAGACTGCAGTGTGCTGTGACCACACCTGTGAATAGCCACTGCACTCCAGTCTGGGCAACATAGTGAGACCTCCATCTCTTAAAAACAAAAAACAAAAAACAAAAAAAAAAAGCTGGAGGATAATGCTACTGGTGTCTAGTGGGTAGAGAGACCAAGGATGTTGGTAAACATCCTACAATGTGCAATATAGTCCCCCATAACAAAGATTATCCAGCCCCAGATGTTAGTAGTACCAAGGTTGAGAAATCCTGCTTGAAAAGAAATGCCAAGAAAACACTTGGCAATAATGCTATTGCATGGAAAAGAAGGGACTAAGATATTTACTGTATTATATGTCCATTGTTTCACTTGCCCATTGAGATGTTAGTTTGAAAACCCCTCTCCCTGAGTCTGGAATCTGTCAAGTGAATTAAGAAGGTCAAAGGCTTTTTATCAGTGATCAGTGTTTTGTGCATTCTTGAAAGGGCAAGGGTTGTCATAAGAAAGAGCAGAAAGCACTTCATGTAAATCATACTTGATGTGATCCCAGGAAGCTTTTAAAAACTAATTTCTTTAAATTTGGTGGTGCAAATAGCCAGGTGATTTTTGATTCCATGGTCAAAGCTAGGGAAATGAAGCAGGGTGGTGTGAGGTGTGAGGAGAAGATAAATAAGAGAGCTTCTTTCTGGCTTTGCTTTTTATAGTGTCAAGATTTTTTAAATGAAGTGAATCCCTTTGTATTTGTCCTAGTATTCTTTTGTGTTTGTCCCCAGGCCTTAGAATGACTTCCCAGTGCAAGATTCAGAAGCATCATTATGTACCTATGACACTGACCCCACTGTTTATTTTCCAAATATTAGGTACTTTGGGGAAGCATGATGAGGGAAGCTGTGTTGTGACTGCCCCTGAGGGTGGCTGATCTGGCTGGAGGTCAGGATGGCTGTGAGGTCACCAGATCCCTAAGGGGCTTGAGGGAGGAAGATCAGTTCTCCAGGAAGAATCAGATGGACTGGAAGTAAAGGCAGAGAAGCTAAGCGTGTATCTTGCACAGCTTTCTTCTTCTTCTGTTTTTTTCTTTTTAAAATTTTTTTTATCATGACTGACTGAATCAGTGAACTTGATTTTTATGAGCTGCTTCACAGACATGCAGAGAAAAAACAGCTTGGCAGCAATAGGGAAAGCGGGGAGGGATCTAAAGTAAATACCACACTTGCCTGCAGTTTAGTTGTTGACAAAAAACAAACAGTTTTCCCTGAGAAGCATGTGTAATATGTCAGGAAGAAAAAAGAGCAATTAACACTCTTCTTACATAAGATCTTGATAGCACTGTATTAATTTTAATCATTTAGGTTAAAATGCTCTTCTTTTTTTTTTAACTACCAGACAATAGACTATATACATGTATTTGATGTTCACCCATGTCATGCTTTCCAAGGAAAGCATAGTTTTTTGGACCTCCCAGCTTCTAACAATGAGATTTCCCTGATGACATCTCCTAGCTGTCCCACAGATCAGCACGGCCTTTACACTGTTTCTTACTGTTTGTTCTGTGTACCTATGTATCTATCTGCCTGCCTATCTATCTATCTATCTATCTATCTATCTATCTATCTATCTATCTAAAGTTTCCAAGGTCTGCTGTAACAAGTTACCACAAAGTTGCGGAAGCATGAAGCAGCAGATATTTATTCTGTCATGGTTCTGAAGGCTAGAAATCAAAATGTTGGTCTGGCCGCGCTCCTTCCAGAGGCTCTAGGGGAAGGTCCTGGCTTGCCTCTTGCAGCTTCCGGTGGCTGCAGGGACTCCTTGGTTTGTGGCTGCATCACTCCAGTCTGTGCCTGTTTTCACATGGCCTTTTCCACTGTTTCTATGTCTTGCCCTCTTCTGTGTCTTATTAGAACACTTGTCATTGGATTTGGGACCCACCTAGATAATCCAGGATGTTTTCTTCTTGAGATTGTTGACTTAATCACATCTGCAAGGACCTTTTTTTTCCCAAATAAGGTCACATTCGCATTCACAAGTTCCCATGGTTAGGATGTAGATGTTTCTTTTGGGGGACCGCAATTCAACCCACTGCTCTATCTTTCTGTCTATCATCTATCTGTTCAACTATCAAAATCCTCTTCGATTTTTGTTTTCCAGAGTGCTGAGTACACACTAGTTACCAGTTATTATTATTAATTTGAAAGTGTGGCCTTATTTTAAAGCAACCCAAGTTATTTTCTGGGCTAATTGTCCCACCTTGTTTCAAAGATGTTTTCTCATTAACTCTAAGCAATACACGGACGTAGACACTCCACCCTTACAAAACAAGTATGTGTTTCAGACTAAAGACCCAACATCTAATAGCCACACCTAAATGACAAACAGTAAATTGTACCATTACTATAACTTGTAAGATTGCTGTTTTTCTGAGTGTTGCTCCTTGGGCTGCAGTTAACTTCCTACATGGTCTTCCATACACCTCCAGCAAGGTGCAGATGTCTCCGTTGAATTGACCCTATTTATCCTTGATTAATGTATGTGCCCCGGAAGAAAGAAAAGCAATTGGTCAGAGCTTTAAAAATAGAGGGAGAGGCTGGGCACAGTGGCTCATGCCTGTAATCTCAGCACTTTGGGAGGCCGAGGCGGGCACATCACCTTAGATCAGGAGTTCAAGACCAGCCTGGTCAACGTGGCGAAACCCCATCTCTACTAAAAATACAAAAATTAGCCGGATATTATGACAAGTGCCTGTAGTCCCAGCTACTCGGGAGGCCGAGGCAGGAGAATGTCTTAAACCTGGGAGGTGGAGATTGCAGTGAGCCCATGTCACACCATTGCACTCTAGCCTGGGCAACAAGAGTGAAACTACTTCTCAGAAAAAAAAAAATAATAATAATAATAGAGGGAGAAAACCATAATGTTAAGATGCTTGCTCTTATTTGATTCACTGAATTGAATAAGTTATAAAGCAAGAACAGACATTTACCATGTCCTCTCTCAGTTCTGGAAACAGTGTGGCAGAGAGGAAGAGGCACATGTGGGTGGTGAGAGACCTTGGTCAAGAAACCTAGGCTCCAGCTTGCAGGCCAAGGCCTGGCCCTGCTGCCATCTGTGTGACCTCGAACAAGCCCCTGAGTCTCCGGGCTAAAAAAAACTAAAGTCTCCTATCTTTTCAAGTATCAGATGATTGAGCCAATAGTTTTCAAACTATGGTCCAGTGTGCCGCGCACACTCACTTTTCTCTTCCCTGACACAATCTTCATGGTTTTCTCTGTGATTAGAAACTGGGTTTAGCTTGGAATTAAGAAATGGTGGTGTTTTTGTTTCTCTTCATTCACCTGCTTGCAGCGGAAAGCTACAAAGAAACACAGATGGTGAAGATTAAAGAGGAACCAATGGAGGTTGACATCCAGGACTCCCATGTCTCAATATCACCCAGTCGGAATGTTGGCTACAGCACTTTAATCGGGCGAGAGAAAACCGAACCCTTACAGAAGATGCCAGAGGGCAGAGTACCCCCAGAGAGAAACCTCTTCAGTCAGGATATCTCTGTGAAGATGGCTTCCGAGCTCCTCTTTCAACTGTCAGGTATGTTTCTGCACCGGAAAATGTCAATAATTGGAAATCATTGAAGGAAAACCCTTCTAACACAGTTTTTTTTTAAAAAACAACCTGAATTGTAGGATTTTTTAGACAGAAATCAATTTTGTTGCTTTAACACGCATACTGCCACCCAAACCAACACTTAATAAAGTCTTGCCAAGTAGAATTCCTGCCAACCTTTCCTTAATAAATAGTTAAGAATCACCTGAAATTAAAACTCTATTCAATTATGTGCAAATGATTCCTGTTGACTGGGCTAAACACCTCACCTCTAATTTTGCTTAGGCAGTTGATCTGATTAACAACCTTTTTTTTTTTAATGTGCAAAAGATAAATTTCAATTTATTCCAACAGTGACTGAATTACTATGACTTCCAAATTAGTGTGGTCTGAATTAATGAGGTTTTATTGTATCTTGCCAAAACAAAAACAAAACAAAGAAGGGAAAAGCAAAAGATGAAAATATGAGGACTATTTCCAGCTGTAGCCTTAGCAGAACAGTTTCTGTAAACCAACTTTTTGTACTCACGTACTTAGAATTGAAAAGTACGGTAATTACCAGCTCAGTGAAGTATCTGGATGAAATAGTTAAGGATCCCAGTACCTAAGTTGTTCCTTTTGTCATCTCTTTCAAGCGACACACCACTTGTCCCTAACAAATTTAATATGCTTCTATTTTTTTGCGCAAGATTGAGGTTGATGGTGTATACATATATAAGATTCAGGTAGAAATACATACAAATACCTTGTCCAAAGTCAGGCACTGGCCTACAGTATGAAAGTTTATGCATCAATAAAGTCTGTTACTAATGTCCAACAAACTCTGTTTTGTTATGGGTAACACATTTAGAGCATCCATTAAATTCTCTCTTAAGGAAGATACCAGGAAAGAGAAAAAAAGCTAAAATCCATCTGTCACCCTAACAGTTCACCTTCTCATTGACCTGTCAACACAGCCCATAGTTGTGTAATTATCAGATGGTGCTGAAAACAGTGGCCTCCAGGTCCTCAAATGGGGGGTTGTTTGTGCAGATCTCTGTAGTAGCTGAAATCACTAATTCTGTAAACTTTATAGAACACACAGATCTTTGCAAGCTCCAAAACAGGCTAGTTTTATTTATTTATTTTGAAGGATGAAGCTTATCTAAAAACAATATAACTTTAATAATGATTGAGGAGTTAAAGTTTGCAAAAGCGTGACCTGTGTGGTTCTTTTCAGAAAGTCTGTCTCTAAACCGTATGCTGTCGCAGTCTCCTATCAGCTAAAAACTTTGTGTCTGAGAGTTCTCACCCTGGTTCTGTCACTGCCTGGGTGACCTCAGACAAGTCATTTAGACCCGATTTCCTGCTCTCTGAAAGAATACTGGCTGTGAATCCAAATTCACACTCGTTGTCATTGTTGAGTGGACAGAAAGGAATTGTCCGTGCACACATGCATGCAGTGGCTTCAGACTAGCAGTACAAAGTGTGAGACAGGTGTTGCAAATCTTTGTTTAAATTTTTCCAAAACTCCACAAGATTAAGAGTTTTTTACTTGCCCTGCTGTTTAGATCTGAAACTCTTATAGCGTTGGCCAGGTTTTTTCTAGATATTAAAAGAAGCCATTGGCAGCTGTGACCATCAGTGTAGGGTCGTCACATTTGAACTGCATTGGAAAGGCCAGAGTTCAACTTTTGTGTTCTTGAAAGCTCATTAAATAATTTCTGGCAGCTGATAGATGTAGACCTCAAGCCACAGTAAGGGAGTATCTACCTCTTCTTGTCTAAATGATATTTTTTTGTCCCTTGTGACATTTATCAGAATAACACTGAATGACTGCAGCACCAAGAGGTCTTAGGCTGTTTTTTTATCCCCTCTCACAAAGGGGCCTCACAGTACAGAATGCTTAAAGGTTGTCATCAAAGTCAGAGGCGGAACAGTTGCAACAACTGCAGTTTTCATGCTGAATCAGAGGAAAGCAGAAATTTTCAGCTGGGGAAAGATACAGTGGAAATAACTGTCTCTGCCCGTAACTCTATGTGTGTGTGCGTGTGTATGCGTATGTATGTACTTACTAAGGCCTCATTCAAATCACACCACATACTTGATATTTGTTACTGTTTCCCTTTGGTTTTTCTTTTCTTCTTTTTTTTCTTTTTTCGAGACAGAGTCTCACTCTGTTGCCCAGGCTGAAGTGCAGTGGTGCAGTCTTGGCTCACTGCAACCTCCACCTCCTAGGTTCAAGCAATTCTCCTGCCTCAGCCTCCCAAGTAGCTGGGAGTACAGGCACATGCCATCGTGCCAGGCTAATTTTTGTATTTTTAGTAGAGACAGAGTTTCACCACGTGGGCCAGGCTTGTCTTGAACTCCTGACCTCAAGTGATCCACCTGCTTCAGCCTCCCAAGGTGCTGGGATTACAGGCGTGTGCCACAGCACCTGGCCTGATTGGTTGTTTTTGTTTTGTTTTGTTTTTTGAGATGGAGTCTTGCTCTTTTGCCCAGGCTGGAGTGCAGTGCTGCCATCTCGGCTCACTGCAAGCTCTGCTTCCTGAGTTCACTCCATTCTCCTGCCTCAGCCTCCCGAGTAGCTGGGACTACAGGTGCCTGCCACTATGCCCGTCCAATTTTTTTGTATTTTTAGTAGAGACGGAGTTTCACTGTGTTAGCCAGGATGCTCTCGATCTCCTGACCTCGTGATCCACCCACCTCGGTCTCCCAAGGTGCTGGGATTACAGGCGTGAGCCACTGCGCCCTACCTGATTGGTTTTTAATAAAATATTTTTATGGATACTATCAACATGCTTTTAATGATTGCCTTTTCCAGTAAGATGAGGAGGATCTGGATGTTTAAAAAAGAAATCAAGGCCGGGCGCGGTGGCTCAAGCCTGTAATCCCAGCACTTTGGGAGGCCGAGACGGGCGGATCACGAGGTCAGGAGATCGAGACCATCCTGGCGAACACGGTGAAACCCCGTCTCTACTAAAAATACAAAAAAAAACTAGCCGGGCGAGGTGGCGGGCGCCTGTAGTCCCAGCTACTCCGGAGGCTGAGGCAGGAGAATGGCGTAAACCCGGGAGGCAGAGCTTGCAGTGAGCTGAGATCCGGCCACTGCACTCCAGCCTGGGCAACAGAGCCAGACTCCGTCTCAAAAAAAAAAAAAAAAAAAAAAAGAAATCAAAAGGAAACCACAGAGGAAAAAGAGAAATGTTGAGGGTTTTTCTGCTTAAAGCTAAAAGATGCAAGTTGAATGAGAACAACCTAAGAGGTATATGTTTCATTCTTTCTCCTTACAGAAAAAGTGAGCAAAGAGCACAATCATACAAAAGAAAACACCATCCGGACCACCACCAGGTAGGCGACTTTGTGTGGCGTTCCTCCAGAACACCCCATGTGGGCCACCAGCCCGTACTACATGTTGAACGTTGCTCCCCAAACCTCTTTCTCCCACTGGGTTCAAAGGAGTCACACCCTTTACCACCATTTTCTACCAAAATTTCTCGGTTGGTAGAAACAATACAGAAGTAAAGGAGGAAGACCACTAATATTTACTAAACATCTAATAGGTGTCACTTTGCTGGGAAATTTTCTGTATGTTATTGTTTTGTATTCCTGACAATAATTTTGTGAAGTAGATGTTATTATCATCCTCTCTGCAGAAGTGTCTTGGCCTGAGAGTTGAGCTGGGTGGCTCAGCTGGGACTCGGGGCTGGGTCTGTATCTCACGAAGGCCTCTTTCTGTCTTATTGCAACCCTGCTCCTGACTGCCTCTGTGACTATAGGCTGATAATTTGTCACCAAGGATATCCCAACTTTTTTTTTTTAACCTCCCAGCATTATTTGGAAGGCAAAGATTTTAAAAGAAGAAAAAAGATAATGCTTTTAAAAAATTGCAAGAAAATTTATATCATTCACCACTGTGGACAAGGGAGTTTTCCACTTGCCAAAGGCAGTCTAAGGAGGTCAGCCAATGTAGGCTGCCCACTGTCCATCTGCTATTGTGAGGAGAGGAAGACCAGCCAGTGCTGCTGCTCCCATGGAGCCTTGAAGTCCACCCAAACCTGAAACGTTGTAGGCGAGAGCCAGCAGGTGAAAACCCCACCACTGCAGAAAAGGAGCTCAGGGGAAATGCATTCTCCACCTTTGAAGGACCATTCTCCACTTTCAAACCTCCCTCCAATTTCTGAGTTAGCCCAAGATATGAGCTTTACAGGATGATCAAGAGCAATACACACTTTTAGGATGAATAACTAGGGACAGTGGAAACTAGCTGGGAGCTACCAAGGAGTCTTAAAATCAAGGAACTTTGCTTTCCTGAGCAAACAGAGAAAGATTCTTTCTGATGGGAACAGTTGCTGGGTTTTGTTTCTAATTTTCTTGCAACAAAAGGTAAATGATATTTTTCTTTCTGATGTGTTATTAATTGACCTCACAGCATTATCAGGCCTGTGGACAGTACTCATTTAAACTTTAACCTGAGGTTTAAAAAAACAATTCCATTAATTGGAGGTTAGGAATGTCAAATTTCAAAGAGCAATTAAAACAGAGCCAGCTTGCCTCACACTGGGTTTATTTTATTTATTTATTTATTTTTATTTTATTTTATTTTTTTGAGACTGTGTCACTCTGTTTCCCAGTCTGGAGTGTAGTGGCCCAGTTGTGGCTCACTGCAGCCTCCACTTTGCAGGCTCAAGTCATCCTCCCATCTCAGCCTCCCGAGTAGCTGGAACTACAGGCGTGTGCCACCATCCTCTGCTGATTTTTGTATTTTTTGTAAGGATGGGGTTTTGCCATGTTGCCCAGGCTGGTCTCAAACTCCTGAGCTCAAGCTGTGTGCCTGTCTTGGCCTTCCAAAGTGCTGGGATTACAGGGGTGAGCCACCGTGATCGGCTCACACTGGGTTTATAGAGTATTAGGGAAAGGAACCTCGTTCTAATAGAACAGAAGAGTGGTATATATTAGTGTTGTGTCTGTATATAAGTATTCAGATAGAAAATGAGACTAGGAAGTTGTACTGCAGATTGTATTGAGAAATGGCTTTCGGGGGATGGAAAGACTATTTTGTATATTAAGTTTGATGCCCAAATAGGAGATGTGAGCTCCCATGGAGTCCATCCTGCCCCCTCCTACATCTAACCTTAAAGCTATTTAGTATATTGCTTGTGTCTGTGGGTCTAAACATTGATGAAATTGGCTAGATTAGTAGACCTTGAAAGACAGCAGACTAAAAGTAATAAATATTCATTTTAATTTGCTGCCATAGGATTCTTGAAGTGTTATAGGTTAAGTCCCCTAGAGATGGAGATTCTCGTGGAAGTGCTTTATTGAGGGAATGCTCTCAGAGGAACCTGCAAGGAAGTGATGGGGGCAGAAGAGGGAAGAAGGAGAAGGAGCTGAGAGCAAGGATGTGGTTTTAGCTGGTTTGTAACTTCAGCTCCATCCCCCAGGAAGATTCACTAGCTTCAATTCATCCCCTGCAGGGGATGTATAACCTCCGACGTTAGGGGGTTCCAATGGGGACAGCAGTTCTCACTTATAGTTGTCAGGCAACACTTATAGCAACTCCAGGGTGGGTGCACTACTGCTGGAGGGAGGATGTGGGCAGGACCCCACTAGCATGATCTATGGAGGTTTCTGCTGGCTCTTTAAGATTACATAATATACAACAAAAAGATGTGCTGCAAGACCATATTATTTTATGCTTTTCAGGTGTTCTCTGGAAAGAGGTAAGAGGAGGCCCCAAATTGGCCCCATACAAGGACTTTAATGTGCCTCAAGCCTAAACTGCCTTGGCTGGAGCTGAAGCATGATTATAGGATAGAGGAGAAAAAAAAGAAATTTAACCATTTGGCAAAAATGATGCAATCCTTAAATTCTCCTCTTGCTGGGAGGTTATGAGTAAGAGGAAATCCGAATTAGAGCTTTTGCCCAAAGCGAAGGAAGAGGTTCTTCCTGTGAGCCCCCAGCATTATATGGTGTTTAGAAATCAGTGTTAAGGAATTTTTGGCTTATAGTTCTACAAAGTCCTCGTTGTGTTTTTTATTTTTATTTTTTCCTTTGAGTAGAGGCAACTTGCTTGATTAGCCTATCCATAAATAGATCTCTTTTTTACCTCTCGCCTTATTATTTCAGGTGGAATAGAATCAAATCTTTATGCCAAGAAATCCTCTTTAACCTCAGTTAACTGATAATCAGGGACAGAAAAAACAATGCCAACTTTCTTTCTTCTTTCCGGACTCCTGTTTTAGAAGGAACTCTTACTTTGCACATACAAGATCAGTGTGTGGATTATGCTTTAAGGTGTGATTTGTGATACATTTCAAAAAGATTTACATCAAACCTCTGAATTTCTGTATCTTCAGATTTTTAAGTACTAATGGAGTGTTTATTTAGTAATCATATCTTCTGTGTTTGATTTCCTAGAAGAAACTGACTATTCAGAAGGACAGTTCATGATTGGAATCAAGTTCAGAATTTTTTGCACTTTGAGAGTAGCTAGGTGTACTTAAGGTAGTTTCATTTGTAAAGGGCAGGCCTGGGATGCCAGCCTCAGCACAGCACGGAGATCAAGCCTTCCCTTACCTTTCTCATGCTGGTGAATGCCTGGAATCTCCTGATCCTAGCGTCTGGATATCCAAAGACATGAGGTGGGGAGAAGAGACACAAAACTGAAGAAAGGAGCTGATTCTATCCCTGCCTTTTATAAACCCACAGCTTCCCTCACAATTGTTTATTATTATTTATCTTGATGCTCATTTCAACCACAAGACTAAGAAAAAGTGTAGCAACCCAAGGGGAAACACTCTGTAGCTTGGCGTTCCAATACGTGCTTGCCAGTGAGTCATGGGAGTGCTGATGCCCATGTCCTGCACCAAGAGAACACGAAGTCCATGGATATGTGCTGTTAACTCTCCATCCCGTAAGGGTTGGTGACTGCACTTTCCTCATCATCAAATCCTCCCTTCTCACACCTGTCCAGTGGCAACTCTGCCCCTTGTTAATACCTCTGTTATAGGATGGGTAGATAAGGAGAGTGAAAATGATGGGAGACAGCATTCTTTGTTAGCGATTTTTTAAAGGGGTTTAGGTGAAGCTAAGGTTGAAACTAGTAACTACCAAGTTTCTGGATCACTGGGTCTCTCCCTCATTTTTAAAAACTCTTATAATGGAAAATTTCAAACATATACAGAAGTATCTGTCATCCAATCCAACAGTCATCAATTAATGCTTTATGATATTTTTATCTATCTCCCTCCTCTAATTCCCCCTCCCTGTAGATTATTTTGAAGCAAATCCCAGACATCATTTTAAGAACTGATTTGAGAATCTCCTTTTTTTTAATCCTAAGAACTTAGACTCAGCTGCTTAAATTACGAAAATCTTCCCAAAAGTAAAGGAGAAAAACAATCCACCAAGGCACACCATGTAGCCAGGCAGAAAAATCAATCTACTTAGCAGCTGAAATGATTGCATCATGTGGTCCTGCTCACCAATGCCTTGACCCTGTCCCTCCACCCTTGTTTGTGTCCTCATCGGGGCACTTCCCATTGAATCAGTCCTTTAGATGGAACTTCACCGTAAATGCTAAAACAGCAGTCTCTTTCCCTGTTTAACCTCAGAGTCTAGAAAATTCAATCCAAGTGTAAAGAAGGCTGTGGGTCTCCTTTGAGATAGTGTGTGGACTGAGTGTTCTTAATGCCACTCTATCCGACAAATGAGATGAGGAGAGAGTCCCGGCCAGACCCATGAGAACAGAAGGACCGAACATTTCAGACTAATAAAATCCTGATTTTTCTATTTCCTTTCCCAGCACAAGCCTAGGTTCTGCAGGGAGCAGATAACTAGCTATTATGATCATTTGGTAGATGAAAATACATGAGGCATGATATCATAATCAGATCTCAAAGTTTAATGGGATAAAAAGAAGATCTACATCCTTTGACATGGACCATCACCCAGCCAGATGCTGGATAAAATCGAAATAGGAAAATGGAACCCTAGAGTAAGAATCAGATAGCTCCTGGCAGGTGAATTGGACATGCTCGATGTTGTGTAACACCATGAACTTCAAACAATGGCTGCCAAGAACCCTCTCTTGGTTATTTGTTCTCTCTTTTCCCCATTAATAATTCAGTGTCCATGGGGGTATAAGATTGCAGGCCTATAAGAAATACTTTCTCACACCTGGCTTGCTTCGTTCCAAAAACAAGGAAGAGTTTGCCTGAATTGTTCTTTTCTCCATTACTAGACAAAAAGCAGAAGTGGGAAAATCAGAGAAAGATAGATTCATATCATGCTGTGCAGACCAATATTTAATTTGCCCAATTTTCAGAATTTGAAATGCAGGCTATTTT